GTTAGTGTGGGGAGTATGGTGCTACCGCGTACCTATGTAGAGGGTGTTCTTCTGCATCGACTGGTTCATGTCATCGTCGGCGGCCGCGGCGGCGATGAAGCGGCGGGGTCGGTAGGAGATGGGGATGGCTCGCGGGGAGGAGAACAGAAGCAGGGGATTTGATTTTTTTTTCCCACCTGGAAACAGGGGCCTTGCCACGGTCGAGCAAGCTGCAAGCGGGTGGTGTAAACCTGATCGTTCTCTGGGCCGGGCCAGGCTTGACAGAGCCCAGTCTGAAAATTCCAAGCCCGGCCAAACTCCATGAACAATGTCACTTTCACAACTTAGGCAATCAATTTTGGGGCAAAACATACTGCACCATTCCTATTTTTGAATATAAAGTAACAGATTTGGTCACTTAGTGCTTTTTTTGAGCTTTGAGAGGAAAAGTGGAGCCTGAGTTCAGCTCGGAGGTCAAGCTTTCGGGCCCGGGCCGAGTGATTACGTCTAGGGTGGTGCATTTTGTTGGATATGTGGGAAGTTAAAATTGCTTTGAAACATGAAATCTTTGCTTCGATGTGCCACTGAAGTCACATCAAGGCAGCAAAGGGTGGCCAAAGCAGGAGATCGTAGCCGGTGTACTCGCACTTGTGGTGAAACTGGTTGTAAAATGTCTGTTGTTTACAACCTAGAAGCAATACAATGCCACAACATTTCATGTCCAAACTTGAAACATAGCTTGAGAAACAAATTTAGCATTGATCATGTTAATGGGCCAAAACTGTGGCCCAACCTCAGCCAACTATCATCCGTAACATGTTTTGACTTCTTTTATTTCTTGAGCTGAAAGTCTAATTTGTGTACAAAATTTAGAACACAACAAAGAAAATGGTGCATCTACGTGTTAACATATTTTCGGTCTTTAAATATGTGTAGAATCCCTGCAAAAAATGTTCACCATTTATTCTCAGTCTTTAAAAAAAATCAACACTAGGTGAGTATCTCATTTTTGAATGTCTTATTGCCGCGTCCGCTTGGTGCTGTTGTGTTGCACATGGAAGACAAATCTTATACGACTGTCTGGGATGGTAAACTTTGTATTAGACTTTTACAAGTAAAACTTTGTTCACTTTGATCAAGTTTATGGAAAAGATTGTCTTTTTTTTGGGTGGGGATATGGGAAAAAGATTGTCAACATCTAGAATACCAGATCATCAGGAAATATATTACCATAAGATATAAATTTGGTATTGTAGATGTAGAATTTTTTTCTATAAATTTGCTTAAAGGTTATGGAGATTATCTTTGGAGAAAATCAATGAGATGTGTATTCATAATTGGTTTGCAACCTCCATAAAGAACCACAAGACCCTTTCTTACCATTTGGACTCAAGGTGCACGTGCAAGTGAAGTCACATCGAGGCAGCAAAGGGTGACCAGAGCAGGAGATCTTAGCCAGTGCACTCGCACTTGTGGTGAAACTGGTTGTAAAATGTCTGTTTTTTTACGACATAGAAGCAATACAATGTCACAAAATTCCATGTCCAAACTTGAAACATGGCTTGAGAAACAGATTTGGCATTGATCATGTTAATGGGCCAAAACTGTGGCCCATCCTCAGCCAACTACCATTCGTAGCATGTTTTCACTTCTTTTGTTTCTGAGCTGAAAGTCTAATTTGTGTACAAAATTTGGAACACAACAAAGGAAATGGTGCATCTACGTGGTAACATATTTTCGGTCTTTAAATATGTGTAGAATCCCCGCAAAAAATGTTCACAATTTATTCTCAGTCTTTAAAAAAAAAATCAACGCTAGGTGAGCATCTCATTTTTTAATGTCTTATTGCCGCGTCCGCTTGCTGCTGTTGCGTGGCACATGGAAGAAAAATCTTATACGACTGGCTGGGCTGGTAAACTTTGTATTAGACTTGTAGAAGTAAAACTTTGTTCACTTTGATCAAGTTTATAGGAAAAGATTGTCTTTTTTTTGGTGCGGATATGGGAAAAAGATTGTCAACATCTAGAATACCAGATCTATATCAATAGCATTATAATCATCAGGAAATATATTACCATAGGATATAAATTTGGTATTGTAGATGTAGATTTTTTTTCTATAAATTTGCTTAAAGGTTATGGAGATTAACTTTGGAGAAAATCAGTGAGCTGTGTATTCATAATTGGTTTGCAACCTCCATAAAAAACCACAAGACCCTTTCTTACCATTTGGACTCAGGTGCAGGTGCAGGTGCATGTGGTGCAACTTACGTGACTCTAAGGGAGGTTTTGTGGCTGCGGCAATGGAATTTAAACAACACGCTCTCTACGCTGCCACAATGGAGGCCTTTGCATTGTTATTCGGTCTACAACTAGCAGAAGAGCTTGGCATTTTTTCGATTTCTATTGGGAGCGATTCTATGGAGATTGTTCAAGCTATTCGGAATCCGTCTGACTATCGGGCGTCAGAAGCAGTTATTACTGATGATTGTCAAAAGTTTTTTTTTTGCGGAAAGCATGATTGTCAAAAGTTGATAAGTTCTTTCGGCAAGGTGACTATAAATCATTGTGTGTGAGAGGTCAATGAACGTGTTCATGCTATTGCACGTTCTAGTTTTATGGGCAAGAATCAGGGGTGTGGCTTGATAAACCTCCTGATTTCCCCAGACCTCTTTTTGTAAAAGACATGGGTATTAATTAATTAAAGTTGCCGAAGTTAAAAAAAGAACCCACAAGACCCCGCTCCAGAGACTGGTACCAAGGATCGAGCCGCGTGTTTCGGATTAAATTTCAGGATTGGTTTTGCCAGATGAAACCATAAGTCTGAATTTCAGAGCAGTTGCATACGCCGACTCATACGCTCCGGGTCGGAATTTGCAAAGCCGAGCCTGAAAACAACACTGGAAAGGCTCCACGTACGTCTTAACAAAAATGAGCATAGTTCTTGAGCCGGCAAACCAGTTCAGGCCTGTCGCCGAATTGAGGAAATAAGCAGAGTGCACCGCTCGCAGCACGGTGACGCACTGACACTTGATCCTACTCCAGGTGCACCCAAGCAACAAGCCATGCCCACGCAGCATAGCATATGAGTTCATACGAATAGGTGCATTCAAACTGTCCCATTATGAGGGGGAAAGTGTACACTCACTAAAGTCTTCTACCTCCAGTACTGGCTACATTAGCATGGACTAGAGCTATCTTTGCTAATCATGCTTTCGTTGCAACCATGCTTCAGTCCACTCCTCTTAACATTCATTTCAGGAGAACACTTGCCGGTGCCCGTTGGGAAACCCGGCTCCATCTGATAAGAAGACTGATGGACGTGCAACTTTCTCAACTTCCAGACCAGTTGTGCTGGAAGCTAACCAGGAATGGAGAATTTACAGTTAAATCCATGTATCTGGATGTTATCAACTTTAGCTCTATTCCTAGTTCGAAACATGTTTGAAATATCAAAGTACCTTTGAGGGTTAAAGTGTTTATGTGGTTTGTACACAAACAAGTCATTTTAACTAAGGACAACTTGACAAAACGCAACTGGATTGGTTCTTCAAGATGTAGTTTTTGTGATCGGGATGAGACCATCAAACACCTCTTTCTTGACTGTTCGATGGCAAAAAATTTATGGCGGACTGTTCACATTGCTTCTTAATATTACTCCTCCGAATAATATCAACACGTTATTTCGGACGTGGCTTGATGGGATAGATTCCGAAACAGCGAGACACATTCGTGTAGGAGTATGTGCTTTACTGTGAGCAGTCTGGAACTGCAGAATTGATTTAGTTTTTAACAGAACAACAAATACTCATTTTTTGCAGGTTATCTTCCGAGCCACTGCGTTGATCTGTATGTGGTCGCTACTCACTCAGACGGACGCCAGGGAGCGTTTGGTTACTGGATCTATCCGATGGGAGATGGTAGCTCGGGCTATATTCAATCGGTTTGGATGGCGGTCATGTAATATGATAGACAATTAGTTTTTCTATCTTTCTTTTGGCCAGCCGGTTGTGACTTTATTTTTACCTTCATGCTCTTTGTGAGCTTTTTTGCTTCATTCATGTTGAGAGTTGAGGACCTATGTTGAACTTATTTGCTTTTTAATAAATGTGGCCGTATGCATCGTTCTGATGCAGAGGCCGGGGATCTTCCTCTTTTCTTTAAAAAAAACTTTGCTAATCATGCATAAAGTTCAGAATTTTTTTTATTGCAGTGCTATCCTCTCTGCTCATGCTGGTTATTTCCCCGGTAGGTAAGGTCACCTCTAATAAACTAAAAAACGTAGATAGGTGCACTACGGTTGCTATTGGGTCAACTATTACATTTTCCTTCCGGACACATACAATTTTAACTACCTTGAGATGCTGCGACAACAGTGATTGTTCCCTTTGAGTAGTTGAGTTGTAAACTTGCGGCCTTGAGTTACAGCTTTGATCCTGAAGTCAACAAAACGCACATGGCGACTTCAAAGACAGAAAACTATCATACTTGAAATATCTCACTAGTTCAGAATCAAGCTGAAGCATAAGCGCCTCTAGAATTGGTGAATCCTAGACGAAATAGGGTTTTCCCCACTTTATATTATAAAGCACGAACACCGATCACAAGGTAACTGCCGGGGCGAACGGCACAACAAGCCCGAAGAAAAAAGAAGACAAAAATGCCAACAACGGCAGCTTGACAAGCACGAATGTTCCGCCAGCTTTGCGCCCTCGAAGTCATTAGCCGCACACCAGTTATTGAGCAACAACATTTTAAACTTGCCAAACATATGGCGAAAATATAAACTGGGCAAAGTGAAGAAGGTTTAGCAAGTCCCTGGACTGCTCCGAAATACAACTCAAGCATTGCATAAATTTAAATGGCTCACAGAGTAATCTCAACCATACATGTTTCAAGTGACTAAAGAGTACCCAAGTACCGGCATACATAATGTAATTCCCACAAACAAACTGTAGGGTGTTTGTAATCATTCTGACAACACATTACATGACACATGCACCACATGATCCGTCATCACAGTCACACGCACCCTCAGTCTCACGTGATCCGTCGTCAGAGTCACACTCATCGTCGATCTCTTCAGGCGTAAAAATCGATGCTACCAATGATGGCATGCCATCAAGCAAAGGACTCAAACCTTCCATTGCAGTCAGCTTCAAGCTAATGAGGTTCGGGGCAGAAATACGAGTCCGGTAATCACTACCAAAGCATCCGTCGTGGATGTTAAGATGCTGCAATGAAAGGCACAGGATAGCATCCACGACGATGTCGCAACCTGACATCTTCAACTCCTCTAGCACACGGCAGCTCGACAGATCCAGAGAGCCTCCGCAGAAGGTCATGCGGCTGAACCGTAACCTCTTCAAGTGCGAGGAGACGAGAGTCATGTTGGCCGCATGGCAGACAAAGGAAATTGAGCAGTGCTACGCAGCCGACGATATTGCAGCCGATGCATGCACGACGGTAGGTAATCACCGTTAGATTAAATCCCTGCATGATTACGGGACGTAAGATCCTACTATCGTCCACAAGTCGTCCATCAGATATCGTGTGTGAAGCTATTCCGAAGGAAATTTGAAGCGCCCAAGCTTGACATGACGCGGCATGCTGGACCCACGGTTCAATTATTCTTCGAAACGTCTTACCGGACCAATCCATTCCCCAGCTATGGGAACTGATGTCACACACATTCAGAGGCACCGGGTCACGGAGGCGAAGAAGGTTGTTCACAAACGTGCTGGAGCCTTTTGTGCCGTGGCAGGTGTCGGGGTCGTCGATGCGGAGGGCGGGCACGGACTTCCAGAGGGTGCCCCAACGCCGGGCGAGCACGCACGTCCGCACGGCCTCGCGGGAGGCAAGGAATGACATCACGTGTAGGAGGAGCTCGTCCAGGAGGGCGCCGAGGCGGTCCTCACCACCGGCCACAGCCGTTTCCATGCTTTCCTCATCATCAAGCCGCTCGGACATTTTGTCGAGCGGGTGGCCTGCGCCGAAGCCGTGGAGTTGTTGGACAGAGAGTGAGTCGGTGAGGGAGAGCAAACACATGGAGAAGACAGACAAAGAATCCATGAGTATCACTGGATCAGCTCACCTGTAGCCGCCGGCGGAAGGCATCGACGACGGTGCTTGCTTTCCAAGGCAAAGCAAGACACGAGACCTCCCTCTCAGACCATCTCACTCTCTCAGTTTGTCTGTGGGAGAGGAAAGACAAATAGTATTGGTCTACACCAGCCAACGTCTTCTCTATTTATATTAGTGCTAGGCATATACAATACGTACATCTAATAATCAGATCAATACTATTTGATTGATACAGCTAACCCTAGGATACTGTATATACATTAACTAGTAATTACACCAGAGCATTTACCGGATATTAACACTAGGAGTATATGCTAGGAGAAATTCTCGCTAGCAAGAGAGATGGAAGGAGTTTATTGCCGCAACCACTGCATCACGGGAAGATATCTAATGCACCGGAGCATTTGGTGCACTAATGCACCTGATCTCTGTGACCTGCTTTAGAAGAAATAGAAAATAACCTTTTTTTAAGGACGTAACAAGCATTAAAAAAATTGAGGAGTACCATTGACACAAAATTTTAGATCCAAATTCAAAAAGCATATCTAGAAACAAAAATTACAAATCACGATGTGAACAATAGCTAATGCAATATGGACGCAACTATTCTCAGATCAAGCTCAAATGAGCCCGTATGAAGAGTAAAATCATAAAAAATTGAAAACAATTCAAATAATTCTGAATTTTGTTTGTGCGAAACATTGGCAACTTTTCTGTGTGCTTGCCAAATTTCATCAAGAAATCATATTTGTGGAAGTGGTGGCAAAAAGAAAAAAATCGACGCTCCAAAAATGCCATTTTCAAAAGCATTTTGGAGTGTTGATTTTGTTTTCTTATAATTCACTAATTATTTTTTCTTACAATTCAATAAACCAAAATAGCCAGTCATTTTTTTTTGTTAATGATCACCAGGGATTTAATGATCCCCTAGTTAACGTTGCCCAATACAAGCCCCGCCTTGACCAAATTGCCGGCGCACCATGGTGATGAGCTAGCCACCCGCATTGTTACATCTATTGGGTCCGTGGAGGGCCGAGTTGGCCGCCACAATGGTGGTTGCCATGGCGGCGCTGTGCTCATCAAGCTCCAATGACAAGGAGATGGCGTGATCGAACGAGGAAGAGGAGGAGGAGAAGGGGAGTTCACTGAGTGTGAGATCGAGATGGTGACAAAGGGTGAGCTCGAGGGGCACCTCACTACAGAGCGTGTCGACGAGGCCACGCATGCCGCCATCTGCATTTACCCCTCGCTGCCATGGAGCACCTCACAATCGAGGCTTGGTTGACTCCACGGGCGAGGCCTAGGGCTACTGCCCGCCATGCATGGCGACGGAAAGGGCACCATTGGAGTTGATTACCGAGCTCACGTACCGACAACGCCGAGGCATTGGGCTCCAACAAGGGCAAAGAGCCAGATAAATGAATTTGCTTCGCTTTATAGATAAAGGCAAGACACAACACCAAGTTCATAGGAGTACATGAAAAATTACAGGTAGGTAACACGAAACACCACTTCTTTGTCATGATAGTGGCCCTTTTGCCCCGCGATCGAGCGAGCCTGCGTGCTCTAAGCTCTGGCTAAGTGCCATGTAATTGCCTCGCTGCGTACTTCGTTTGGTCAGGTCTTTCGTCCGTAAACTCTATGTTACCGTTGGCCTGGAGCCTCCGTGCTCGTGTCGTCCGTTCAAGTCTATGTCCGATACGTTGCCTTATGTGGGCTTTATTAATTTAAAGCCGGACGCGTCTAAGCGTCTTCGTTCTAAAAAAAAAAACAGGAAACAAGTCTACCGAGGGGCACCAGCGAAACAATAAGCTCCAACGAGAATTAAGGTTACTTTGAGTACTTTTGAGTTCAATGTGGCAATATTATGTATAATTAATCATGAATTATGTTATCCTAATCCGTGTAGCTTGTGCAAATTTGTATTTTGAGATGAGAAGATAAATTCGGGCAAAGGAGAAGACATGCTAAATTTCTGGACTCCTCAAAAAGGGTGATGGGCTAGGAAACAGATTTTTATTGCTGCACCGAATTTATATATATACATAAAAAATACCAGTTGGTAATATTGTTTCGCATGAGAAGCTGGAGAAATGTTGGGTTATACTCTAATTTTTTAGAGATAAAGAATACAGTTTGACTAGCATGCAAAGTAAAAACAAACTTACCCGCAACAAAAAAAAAGTAAACACAAACTAACAGGAAGCAAACACGACGTGTGGCAGCGGGAATCCCAGCCGGGCAAGCAGGCGACTCAGGGGTGCTGCAGCAATCATCTGCCGCCGGTGGATGTGAGGCACCGGGGCGTTTATAGCTATGTTCGGCCATGTCGACGAGCACGCCGAGGGCCGCACCTCTGATCCCGGAGCGGCCGGCCGCGCGCAGCCCATGACGCATGGAGAAGAGGGCATCGGTCACGCCCCAGGCGACCGTGGTTTCAAAGGGGTAATCCGGTGCCACGGCCAACCTAATCGATTTGACGACGCCAAACCAGGCCGCAAAACTGCCGATTCTGAGCGCGTTCTTGGGGACGGCCAGAGCTCCGCCGGAGAGGCGTCTCCCGCTCGGCGAGTTCAAGGCGCCCTCGACGAAGTTGACGACGGAGCCGCAGACGGCGCCGGAGATTGCATGGCGCCGGATCTGTTCGATGATGGTAAGTTGCGGCGTCTGCTCGGTCGTCGGTCTTGTCGCGTCCATCGGTCGATCGGCTTCCGGATCTAAATCGAGGGCTTGCAGTTTGGAGGAAACGTCTCGGGTCGAGTCTAGGGCAGTGTAACAAGCCCGATCTACCCTGAGCTCTCTTTCTCTCTCAATCGGATCTAGAAGGAAGGAGTAGTGGGGTTGGAGAAGGAGAGGAGGGGAAGGATAAGATAACTGGAGGAGGATCACCTCTCTCTCGTCCACAAGTTTTTTTTTTGAAAGTCAACACAAATTGATTAATCTCTACTCCTAATAGACGAATTGGTTGAATAGTCCCCCCACTTTCAACCGGTTTAATATCAACCGGTTTATTTTCAACTGGTTTTTCTTCGTCCCACCTCCCACCACCCCCCTCCCACCGGTTTTTCTCTTTCTCGTCTGGCCGACAATACCCAACGTATTTATGGTAATCAATCACAATTAATTCACGTATGGTAAGGCTATAAACTTAGAAATCTCAAATATAATAATTATAGTAATAAATCAATCCATGTATGGTAATGCTATAATCTGGCCGACAATACCCAACGTATTTATGGTAATCAATCACAATTAATCCACGTATGGTAAGGCTATAAACTCAGAAATCACAATTAATCAATCACAATTAATCCACGATTAGGGTAAGGCTGTAACTAAGGAAATTTCGAATATGGTAATTATCACCAGAATCAAAGCTTTCCAAAAAAGTTCTTCTTGCCATACCCTAATCGTGACTTTCTCATCCTGAGGCATTATTTCCATCTATTTCTCAGCCGAATCAGAACTTTCCAAAACTTTGTCTGACTAAATCACAATTTTCCTTCCTTCCCTATCATCTCAATCGAATCATGAGCTATAGGTAAGTCATTTCGTTCTCCACCTCGCACGGGTTGTACTGATTTTTATCATGGTTTGGCCCCCTGCCGTACAAGCCGCTTGATTCCTCATCCCTCGCTCAATTCCTCCACCCTATCTTCTTCTTCATGGTGAGCGACCCAGGCAGCGATGCGTGCCCGTTATGCATCAGCGAGGAGAACCAGGAAATGGTGATTGCCAGCCCCGCGCTCGTCACGTGAACCCGTTCACCGTCAGGTCATGCTGGTGTGTTACGGGTGTAGGTGCACCTTACCTTAGCCATGGAGGTTTGCCGGTAGACAACGGAGGCTTTGCCATGGACACCAGTATCCCTCTCCTCTTCCTGCGCCCTACCTCTCCTTCCTCAGTCTCTACCTCTCTCTCTTTTTCTCTGTTCCAGGAGATCTGCAGCAGACGCCGCAGGCCCTGCCCGTTCGCTGCCGGTCACCTCGCCTCGCTGTTCGATCTCACCGCTGGATATGCACGACTCCGCCGCCCTGTGCCGTCCTCGTCGGGCACCATCATGGCGGCGCGAACACTGTATGCAGTGGCTACAATCAGCGGCGGATTCAACAGCGCGGTGGGCACTAGCGAGTAGCGACCCAGCGGGCAGCGGCTGTGCTGGCCGCTGTCTGCCGCCGAGGCGTAACGGCTCGGGCCTAGACTCCGAGTTCGTCATGGCGCTCCGCGCAACTTCCCTTGCACCGGCTGACTCATGCATGCATCTACAATCTAACTAGCTAATTCCTCCCTTTGACTGCTATTTTCTCTGGTTGTACTGTTCCACAGCTTAGGCATTTAATATTTTGATGCAAGGTGGAGGTGGGGGAAGAAAACAACAAGAAGAAGGATTGTGGGAGGAAGTGGCGTGTCATGTGGCGGCTGAGAAGAGGGAGGGGCATGAAGATGACGAGGAGATGCATTTATCTACCACATCATGAGCATGAGATATCATCACATGTAAATAGTATATGACTCATATCACACAGCCTTTCTTTTTGTAAAAACATTTTGTTAGCACATTTCTTGTTGTACATATAGTTTTTTTAGCATGTGGAAACACATGGGCATCCAGCACTATGTGAATAAATTCACTTTTGGTCCATTTTAAACTTGCTAATTGGCTTCTCACAACTCACGATGGATCTTTGTAATCCAATGTCTGATCGAACATAGAGATGAAAGAACTAGGAATCCGCACGGACTCGGTGCACGCCTTGGTGGTGGATCAGCACATACACAAGGGGAGGGGATTAGGGCGGAGAGCGGGGGGCATCACTCAATTTTAAAGGAAAGGGCTCTATTAGGAAAAGGAAAGGGTGTGTCATGGGACAGGGTTTCTGTATTGA